ACACACACACACACACACACACACACACACACACAAACAACAAAAAACAGAAAAAAATTCAATTGGACTAAAAAAATCCAGGTACCAGAATAGAAAAGAAAAAAGTATATTTGTTTTATTTTATTTATCATATTTATTGTAACTTTAGAAATGTTTCTTGCTGATCAGTCTATGTCTCTAGCATCTGTTCTGTAAATCCATAATCTGCTTTGTGTCGTCTGCGTGACTACTTTTTGTTTATTTAATTTATTTTCTGCTTTGCACCAAAGCCTCCAGCAGCTGGGGGCATACGATCAGATAAAAAAAAGCTTAAATTCCAGTCCAGTTCACTTGAATGTTATTTATATGGAGCAAAATGACTGTGAACACACTGAACTGGGGCACCTCTCACAGTAAAGGCCACAATTTACGTCAAAATGATGCCTGCAAACCGGATGGAGCTTTTGACAGCAGCAGGGAGGAAAACTGCCTTTAAACAGAAAGAAACCGTTGAGCATGTCGGAGAGTAAGAAAAACAACCAACAGGAGCATTAAACACATACTCTAGATCAGTGTTTCCCAAAGTTGGGGTCGGGACCCAYAGTGGCGTCCTGAAACATCAAGGTGGGGTCCTGAAAATGTACTTTTTAATCAATTACACTAAAAACTGACAACCAACATTTTTGCCTTTGTYGTTACACAATAATGAGATTAGTGTGCTTAAAATGGACAAAAATAGCGTAATAAATATTGTTTCTATGCTTTTGTTTATTTGACGTGAAAACATTGTTTATCATCTGGTAACAGCTGGGGACACGGGTCTCTGCTGCTGGTATTTTGTGGGTCAAAAGCTGAAAAAGTTTGGGAACCACTGCTCTAGATGAAGAGCTGTTCACTGCTGCACTGAAGGTCTCTCAAGCCTCRTAAGGATCTTTCAGCATCTCCTAACACACTGTACTCTGTCAGCGTTGTTATAAAGAAGCTTTTAGGACTAATCCTAAGAGTGGAGAGCTTGACTAAACTCAAATAAACAAATAAAAGTGACACTGAAAGCAAAGCTCCTTTGGGATGTTTGATGTTATCACTGGTTCTTTTTCACATGATGGAGCTTGATTATTGTGAGCTTTGTGCATCGTGCAAAGAAAATGACAGTAACCTGTGTTCTGGAGAACTCTTATACTTCCTTATACAGAACCCAGTTTCCAATGTGAAACTTTGATTTTTTTTTCTGTCTACTCAGAGACCAACTCTCAGTTCACCAAGAGGAAATTGATTTTTTCCCTTCACAGATCTGCACCAATCCTGAAAGAAAAAGAGGTCATTTGATACACACCTGTTGATTTTTTTTATAAGGTGGGCCATGTTAGCCTGTCACGTGGTATTTGGACCCCAGGGGACGTGGCAGTCACACTGTGCCCTGACCTTATAGGAGCCACCTATTGCAAATGCCACATTACCATGCCTGGCAGTATAGACAAAAGGTTGCCAAGAGAGAATCACGGGCAGGGCCTCATGCAATGATCACCCTGCTTTTCCCTGGCAAACGGCGGCGGCTCAGGCATTTCCCTGACAGCACACAGCGGTGCAGATGATCCGCTGGCTCATAAACACGCGGCGCTCTCCAACGACCGAGCCCGAACAGCACAGCTTGAGCTGCTTTCTCTTATTGTCCCATTTACGGACTAATCTGTTTGAATCAATCTGCTGTTTGTTTCGGTGACCAGCTGCAGGCTCTCTTCACCCAGATGTCGGAACAGTTAGAAAAATTAAAAAGTCAGACGTCATTTCTGAGTTTGGATTGAATCTTTTACTGGCAGTCATCGTTTGGCATGAGACAAACAAACACAGACTACAACAAGGAAACATTTGACACGTGACACGTGAAACAAACTACAAACCAAGTGGACATTCAGAATAAACATTCAACATAAAAGGTGTCTGCTCCGAATAATATTTACTGAACTGTTTGCGTCTTTATTGCGTTATCCTTTCAGCCACTTTTATATACCAATCAATCCAACAGCAGGAGGTCTTTGGAATGCGTTTCATGGTCGTTAGTCATTATTACGGAGTCAGACAAAACTCTAAAACAATACCACGAATATATACAGCAACAATTAGACGTATTTACCATTACGAACACATAAAACACCCATTAAACATTTAATATATGTTGTTTTAATGATCCTTCGAACAATCATCATCCTGTTGTTATACTGACACCTGAAAGAGACTTTCAGCTTCTGGTTTAAGCAGCTATAAACAATGTACATCCAGGATGTGGAATGGTGAAACCGAAGTGTTAATACAACACTGCCTTAAAGTGCGTACTGGTTTGCTCAGCCTAAATAGTCATTAAATGCTACTGCAGACAGTCTATAACTGATAGATAACAGTCAGGGTCTCGTAACACAGGAGCCACTGAAGTACAGCAACATTAAACAGAAAGACAAATGGCAGTAAGGAAGGGCAGTTTGGGCTTAGCTCTGACTCAGAGGTCCATGTCTAACGTTGGCATCAGTGTCACAGATGTGTTGAAACACTGAGGTTATCACAGAAACAGCTTAACAGTTACAAAGAGGTGAATATCAGCTCCAGAAACCACCTGCGACAACTATCCATCGTCAAGTCCTACCTGTTGTCTTCTAAGATTGTTTTGTTTTCTAAAGTGCACAGAAAGAAGCAGTGGAAACACAACAGATGTTTTGTTTTCTGTTCTCTTTTTCATCTACATCAGGACATTCACAAAGTGGACATTTGGAAAGGGGGGGGGACGCAAAAAGTCGACCAAGCACTTTTGCCCGCGTCACGTGACGGGTCGCCGGCTGTATAGTCTGTTGAACTCGTGTCATAGCTTTTGTTGAGAGATTAACAGAGAACACACAATGTGGAGCTGGGTCCTGCCTGACAGAGATAGTCTCAGTCCTGGTAGAGAACCCAGAGGGACCAACGCTTTCCAAACTAACATCCACCWCAGCTGCCGCCGGGATGCAGCTCCTTCGTCCAACCAACTGATGTAAGTCTCCTTGAGATTGGCCCTTTGGCTGCCGGTGTCACAAAGAGAATTGGAGAGAACAGAGGGGAGAAAGGGGGAGAAAGAAAGAGAGAGCCCTGGTTCGTTAACTCTTCCAGCCCCCCTCCAATGAAACCGCACCTCGTTCCCCAGAGCACTGTCCACCAACACAGTAAGTCTGACCGTCTCTTCACTGTCACTATCTTGGGTGGGTTAACTCAGAGATGGTTAGGAGTAACTTGGTAACCATGTTGGAACAATGTGGGCACTGGTCTCCCCTGTGCCTCTGAGGGTGACTGGGCTCGTGGTGTGAGGACAAGAGGGCAAAGGAGGTATCAGAGTGCTGTGGGACAATGCTTCAACCACAGCAAAAGGAGCATTAGACAGGAAATACTCCATCACCTTTCACAGTAGTGGAGAGTGAACGTTTTGGAGAGCTGTTTCTCCCCTAAACCCCACGGTTCCAACTCAAATTTACTCTCCACATCCTCCTCCTCATCCTCCTCCTCCTCCTCTTCCTCCTCATAGTGGCTGGGCTCCTCTATAGAGGTCTCAAGGTGGTAGGAGTACGGCTGACCCTCGGTGTACTCGTAGATGGTCGGCAGGCTGCTCTTGAGGCTGCAACGCCGGCGCAACGCAACCAGCAGCGGCTGGGGCATGGTGAAGATGTCCACGTTGTTGCCCAGGTCGATCCAGGCCAGGCTGGAGAACAGTTTGGGGTCTTTGAGCATTTCAGTAAGGTCTTTGAGGATGGCCAGGGTGAGGCGGTTACCGTTGAGAGCCAGCGTGCTGAGCTTGGGCAGGGAGGCGAGCAGAGGCAGCAGCAGCCTCAGGTTGTCATCGTGGAGCTCGGTAAAGCTGATGTCCATGGCCACAATGCTGTCTCTGTTGTTCTGGAGGTAGAAGGCAACGTGTCGGACATCACGAGTGGACAGAGGGATTCCAGACAGGTCAACGCTGTCGCTGGATACCTTTTTCTGCAGAGTTGTCTTGAGACTGTGGAGAAACAGGAAGACAAAGATCTTTGAATGGAATCTGAACACAAGCATGAACAGAAATGATCTTTGGCTGCTGTAAATTGTTTTACAGCACGTTGCAATGTTGTGAGACATGTTTAGTACAAAGAGGGTGAGCGGTTTTGTTTAGAACGGAAAGCTGATTTAGAGACTGCAGCATGAGGATTTACTGGTTTAAAGAGTCGAGCCAAAAAAGCCAAACAAAACCAGCAGCTTGCATTTAAAACTTAGAGAACTGGGAACGCAGAGCCTGAGTTTTAGGTACAAGATTATGTTTTGGTCCAGAAAACGAAAGATATTTTTAGTCTGTTTCTTCATCTGTCAGGACAGGAAAAGATTTATGGGGCTTTGTTGCGAGCAAGATGACAGATTTAAGTTAAATCAGGTCAAATTCTAAATGAAGTTATCATGACAGTGCAGAAACACAAACCTGTTCATTAAATTTGCTAAAAAAAAAAAAGCTTTCTGAATATATTTTTTTCTAATTTCATTAAAAAGTTGAACAAGATAAAATATACTGGCACTGGCACATATACTGAGGTCACCTATCTTGAAATACATTAAGGTACATACACACTTGCACCATAACACATTGATCAATGAACAACCTGTTCGTTAAAAACAATACTTCATACATTATTTATCATATTCATTTAAACCCTGTGCGCCAACACTGCTGCAGTCCAGCTTCTGACCTGAGCTTTTAATGGGACCCTGCAAGTAAAAAATAAAATAAAACAGGAGTTCAAAAACCAAAAACACTAGCAAAACATCAAGTAAAACAAATATAAGCAAAGACACATGGTCGTGTTTTTATCGGTGCTTTAAATTCAAGCAAAGTGAACAAGCTAAACGCTCAATTTTTTATTATTTTTACCATTTTTTGCTCATTATCATAAAATATATAGAAGTCATTTTGCTTAAATGCACAGTCATGTGACTAAATAACAATAAAAACATGTATGAGCACTTGTCTTTGAATGTGCATTTATTATAATGTACTAAAAACATTTCTGTAATAGAGAATACACAGCTAGCATTAATCTAAGGAAAGCTTCAGTGATTTCATGTACAAAAGTGATGATGCTAAACTGCAATGTTATTAATGAATGAACTTTGAATCAAATATATAATTAAAAACATCAAGGCTCATTATTACACACTTGATTGATGTGAGGAGCATGAATTCACAATGCTTCCTGCTTTAAATAATTAAACGTCAAGTTTTAGCTCCCAGGGTTTTACTTAAGAGAGCTGGATGAGTGTGATCAGTCATCTGTTTGACTCTTTTTCATTCCCTACACATTCAGAGGAATGGTCAAGACAGCAGCTTGAAGGGTGTTCTTTCATTTAGTTGATTTCAGTACCTTCTTTAACTGTGTTGGCTTTTCTGCACCTTTTTTCTGCTTTGTTTCAAGCTTCTGCACAGCTTTCAGGAGACGATGTAATCGTTACTGATTTACAGTGCAGATGAAAACATTATTATTACGACTACCCTCCTTTGGCCCTTTGTTCTCAGGCAGGTTAACTTCCCGGTGCCTGTCTCCGCCCACCTCAGACAGAGGGGGTGGGGTGTTTAACCGCAGCTCTTGCTGAAGTGGCCTGTAATGTTGATGTGGTGTCAGAGTGAATTAAAGCATCCTCCGGTGCCTGGTGACTTACAGAGACATCCCCTGCAGTATCTGTCACTGGCGATGCTTTGAAGTGCTTTTCTGCGTGCGCCCTCAGCAGCRTTTACTCAGTTTGAAAAAAAAGGGGGGGGGGGGGGGTTTAAAGAGCAGGAGGTTTGTAAAGATGTGCAGAGAGAGGTAGGAAATAAAACCTGCCTTTAAATCCAGGCTGAACTGGACTTTAATTGGCTGCACCGGGTCAGAATCTTGATTTGTCTCTGTGACAGAAACCTCAGCTTGATTCGAGGTGCAAAAACCCTAATGGTCGTGGAAAAGGCCTGTCTGCAGGTGCTAATGGTTCGATCACACAACTCACTCCTTTTCAGACAGACTCGTCCTTCGGAGCTCAGCAAGCACAAAAAAAATTGATGTCTGAAATGCCCTGTCCTGAAGCCTCGTTCATCCTTCTCCCAGATTAATCTTGGAGCAGAACACAAGGGTGTCACCGACAGGGGGACAAAAAAGGCTCTTTGTCATTTTTGCACAGTCGTGAACACTGATAGAAGGACTCACTTTGAACAGTAAAACCAACACATTCTCACTCCCGAGTCGTCACATATTGACGTTTTTCAAAGGTCCCTTTGCGTCCAATTTTGACGCATCAGGTACCCCCCTCGCGTCAGTCCTTGCCGCCCGCGGCTTTTCCGGGTTGCGCCACCAGGGGTCTTTGGGTCGGGGGTCTGAGGTTAACATTAGGGATCAGGATAAATGGTTAAGTTTAGGGACTGGGGTCAGGGATAGGATGTCTACAGTGAACATTAGGTAATTTTAGGCTTTGCAACACGTAGTTGCCATGAATTTCCTACATTTTCTAAAAATGGTTAATTTTACGTATCAGGGTTAATGCTTAATTTTAGGTACTAGGGTCTGGGACAGGATGTCTAAAGTGAATAAACGTAATTTCACGCTTTGGGACGGTAGTATTTGTGCATTTTCTACACTTTCAGAAATTACGACAACAGATTCCGCCCCATCCCGTCAAAATATGACGCAAGGGGGGTACCTGATGCGTCAAAATTGGACGCAAAGGGACCTTTGAAAAACGTCAATATGTGACGACTCGGGAGTGAGAATGGGTTGGTAAAACAGATTCACCGGGAAATAATTWAAAAAAGAAACAGCACCGAGGTGCAGTGCTGTTTACTTTGAATGAAATTAAGATCGATATATGTGGCTCTCCAGAGCAACAAGCAGGAAAAAAAACAATTTCTTTATTTACCTCAGTTCAGACTGAATCTAAAAGGCATCGATATTCTATTAATAGTCTTCAAAAAGCTCTAGCTTCTCAGAGTAGTCATAAATAACTATTAAATATTCAGCCAATCAAGGCAGTTTACATTATACAATTAAAATTTACAATGTAATGAGTCAGGTTGTTTCACATAATAAAGCAGAGGTTAAATTCTGTAACTTTAATTCTGCTCCTATAAATGACTTATATGTTTTTTATGACTGATATCTGTAGATCTTCAAAGCAGCAACTGAAGCAAAGTAAAACAAGAATCATTTTCACACAGTTTAACTTCATACATGAGCACATTAAAGAGCTCTATCATTAAAAGTCCCATTTTTCAGAAGTTCATTTTCTCCTCGGCTCCCCTCTGGGCTGCATTACTCAYGCCGTTTTGTTTCACGCAGAGCAATTTGTCTTCGAACGTTGCTGTTCTGTGCAAAACTTTTGAGTCATCCTTCATTTCTTTATATCAGGCCTCCAAGGAACCTCATTTTCTTGCTATATTTCAAGGAGGTATTGAAAGATATTTCAGACTTTCTAGATCATGTTTAATAAATTTAGTCCCATTAGTCAAAAGGCATGTTTTGCCAAAACGTGTGCAATGTGTTTTAAAAAGATCTATGGAAATCAGAAAAAAATTGAAGATGAAAGAAAGTATCACTGGTTTAAATACAATTCTACTGCAGATGAAAATGTTTTCGCAGGTTTGTCTTCAAGAAAACCAAAAAATAAAGGAAATTTGGTGACAGGCTGCTAATGAAAAAATAAAAGCTCAATCCAGTTCCTTAAATTTTGGAGGATGGCTTTAGTTAATGGTTCAATATAAATTGTAAAAAAAAAAAGGAAATGACTCACGTAAGAAGAATTTGGACAGCTAAATCAGAACAGAAAATGAGTCTGTATGCTGATGATATACTACTATTCCTTCAAAACCCAGAATCATCATTACAAAGTACAATTAAATTCAATCAAAGATTTTTCTAGTATACCAGATTACTCTATAAACTGGAATAAATCAATTATTCTCCCATTAAACAATAATAGTTGGAATATGGCAACCTATGTACCACCTATTCCTCTTTGCACAATACAAATCACCTATTTGACATTCCCCCAGGCTGACTTAATTTTAAATCTGTGTTTAAAACTATTATTATT